TACCATCCCTGACCATAACAAACTTTCTTCCCCTCCTGTCCCTGTGACTACCCTTTCCCTGTGCCTTTCTTAATTATGCACTCCTGTCTGTCCAACTTTCCCTCTATGTGAATGCTGTTGCTCTGGTGCTCCATGGCCAATTGCTCTAAGGAGTGTATCCCCCTAGAGTATGTGGGTGGAAGGTATATGACTCATCTAGTGTCATGTAGCTAATTAGTGACAATCTATAACATTACTGAGCTACCACGCTAGCTCACATTTTGAAGGGTCTGTATTAGAGCCATTACATTCCCCCAAATTCATCCTTGGCTGTAATGTATCCATGTTTTGATAAGTCTTTGATTGCTTCTTTCCTGATAGATTGACTGTATTATTTAAAAATTCATTCTCTTGACATTGAAAATTTGATTCTTCTTTTCACATTAATAAAATCTATATTCTAGGATCTTTATGCCTCTTTCATGACTCTCTAGACTTGAAACTTCAATTCACACTCTGCTACCCAAATAAGTCTAAGACTAATTTACCTAAATCTTGATCTGGGAATAAGAAATTCTGTCTTGAGCTGCCATGGAGAGAAGGTTGCTAAATTCAGCCATAAGCTCTTTGGGTATTTGCCACAGACCCCATTTCTTGCCCCAAAAGTCCTTTTGGCCCCTCTAGGAGGCCCCAGAACATTAGCTTGCAATGCCTTCAGACATGGGTGAAGTCAGGCTGACTCTTCCTGAAGTAATGCTATGGAACCCTGTACCACCTGCTTTCCATCTGCTCTAGCCTCTGAATTAGTCCCTTCAGCTATAGAAGTTGTAGAAAAAAAGAAAGATCACTTACTTAAAGTATCTCTTAATATAAAGAGACAGGCCCCACTCTAGAGTCAGGAAAGGGAGGGAACTCTGGGATGACAAAAGCCGCAGGCTCCAGGTAAGGAGAGGGAGACAGGGCCCACCTGAGAGGCCAGGGACTACAAAGTGGCAGGATCCAAGTAGGATCCAGGTAAGGAGAAGGCAGAGAGGTTTCAAACAGCTATGGAAGAAAAATTTGTCTGTCAGTTTGTCATACCGTGGTGGCTTGTGCATTGCTATGAAGCTTGAGGCTGTGCCACTGGTATTTCACATACCAGGAGGGTTGCACATGGTGCACAGGTTTCAACATAGCTTACAGACTGAGACAGACTAGGAAGAAGGAAGAGACCATCCACTTCTCAAAGAATTGGCTAGGGAAAACCTTATGAATAGCACAGAAACACTGTCTGATGCATTACTAGGTAACTTTATGAATAACCCAGAAACATTGTCCAATATAGTGCAGGAAGACAAGCCCCTTAGGTCAGAAGGCACTCAAACTACGACTGGGGAAAAGCTGCCTCATCAGAGTAGAACCAACCATAATGATATGGATAAAGTAAAGTTTTTGGAACCTCCATATGCTGATATGGCACAACTCAAATTGAGGAGAAACAGCTGCAAACATCCATTAATAATAGGAACATGGAATGTACGAAGTATGAATCTAAGAAAATTGGAAGTTTTCAAAAATGAAATGGAACGCATAAAGATTGAAATCCTAGGCATTAGGGAGCTGAGATGGACCAGTTTTGGCCATTTTGAATCAGACAACCATATGATCTACTATGCTGTTGTTGTTGTTGTTAGGTGCCATCGAGTTGCTTCTGAATCATAGCAACCCCATGCACAGCAGAACGAAACACCACCCAATACCGCACCAGTCTATGATCCTTGCTATACTTGAGCCCATTGTTGCAGCCACTGTGTCAATCCATCTCATTGAAGGCCTTCCCCTCCTTCGTCAACTCTGCACCTTAGCAAGCATGACATCCTTCTCCAGGGAATGGTCCCCTCTGGAGATTCTTTCTCCAGGGAATGATCTACTATGCTAGGAATGACAATTTGAAGAGGAATGGTGTGGCATTCATCATCACAAAGGATGTTTCAAGATCTGCCCTGAAGTACAATGCTGTTAGTGATAGGATAATATCCATATGCCTACAAGGAAGACCAGTTAATACTACTATTATTCAAATTTATGCACCAACCACCAAAGCTAAAGATGAGGAAGTTGAAGATTTTTATCAACTTCTGAAGTCTGATATGACTGAACATGCAATCAGGATGTGTTAATTAACACTGGTGACTGGAATGCAAAAGTTGGAAACAAAGAAGAATCATTTGGCCTTGGTGACAGAAATAATGCTGGAGATTGCATTATAGAATCTTGCAACACCAATAACTTATTCATTGTAAATACCTTTTGTCAATAACTCAAATGGTGGCTATACATCAGGAGTTCACCAAATGGAATACACAGGAATCAGACTGACTATATCTGTGGTAAGAGGTGATGGAGAAGCTCAATATCTTCATCCAAAACAAGACCAGGAGCTGATTGTGAAAAAGACTGCTAATATGCAAGTTCAACTTGAAGTTGAAGACAATTAAAACAAGTCCACAAGAGCCAAAATATGACCTTGAATATATCTTTCCTGAATTTAGAGACCATCTAAAAAATAGATTTGACGTATTGAACACCAGTGACCGAAAACCAGAAGAATTGTGGGATGACATCAAGAACATCATCTATTGAAGAAAGCAAGAGGTCATTAAAAAGATGAGAAAGGAAGAAAAGACCAAAATGGGTGTCCGAAGAGACTCTGAAACTTGCCCTTGAGCAAAGAATAACTAAAGCAAATGGAAGAAAGGACAAGATAAAACAGAAGATTTCAAAGAGCAGCTTGAGCAGACAAAGCCAATTACTATGATGAAATGTGCAAAGAACTAGAGTTAGAAAACCAAAAGGTAAGAACATGCTTAGCATTTCTCAAGCTGAAAGAACAGGAAAAATTTAAGCCTCAAGTTGCAATATTGAAAGATTCTATGGGCAAAATATTGAATGATGCAGGAAGCATCAAAGGAAGATGGAGAGAGTCACTGTACCAAAAAGAACTGGTCGATCTTCATCCATTTCAGGAGGTGGCATATGTTCAAGAACCAATGGTATTGAAGGAAGAAGTTGAAGCTGCACTGAAGGAATTGGTGAAGAACAAGGCTCCAGGAATTGATGGGATACCCATTGAGATGTTTCAACAAATGGATGCCATGCTGGAGGCTCTCACTCAACTATGCCAAGAGATTTGGAAGACAGGTACCTGGCCAACTGACTGGAAGATATCCATATTTGTACCCATTCCAAAGAAAGGTGATACCACATAATGGGGGAAATTATCAAATAATATCATTAATATCACATGCAAGTAAAATCTTACTGAAGATAACTCAAAAACGGTTGCAGCGGTATATTGACAGAAAACTTACAGAAATGCAAGCTGGGTTCAGAAGATGACATAGAATCAGGGATAGCATTGCTGATTTCAGATGGATCTTGGCTGAAAGCAAAGAATACCAGAATGATAATTACTTGTTTTATTGACTATGCAAAAGCATTTAATTGTTTGGATCATAACAAATTGTGGATAATATTGAGAAGAATGGGAATTCCCAAACATGTGATTGTACTCATGAGGAACCTGTACATAGACCAGGAGGCTGTCATTCAAACAGAACAACAGGACACTCCCTCCTAAAATCAAGTAGGGAGTGCATTAGGGTTGTATCCTTTCCCCACACTTATTCAATCTGGATGCTAGGCAAATAATCTGAGAAGCTGGACTACATGAAGAAGAATGTGGCATCAAGATTGGAGAAAGACTCATTAACAACCTGCAATAGGCTGATGACACAACTTTGCTTGCTGAAAGTGAGGATGGCTTGAAGCAGTTACTGATGAAGATTGAAGAATACAGTCTGCAATATGGATTACATCTCTATATATATATAAAAAAAAAATCCTCACAACTGGACCAATAAGCAACTTCATGATAAATGGAGAAAAGATTGAAGTTGTCAAAGACTTTACATTGCTTGGTTCTACAATTGATGCCAATGGAAGCAGCAGTCAAGACATCAGACGTCATATAACACTGGGCAAATCTACTGGAAAGGACCTCTTTCAAGTACTGAAGAGCAAAGATGTCTCCTTGAAGACTAAGGTGCGCCTGACACAACCCATGATATTTTTAGTTGCCTCATATGCATGTGAGAGCTGGACAATGAATAAGGAAGACTGAAGAAGAATTGATGCTTTTGAGTTGTGGTGCTGGCAAAGAATGCTGAAAGTACCATGGACTGCTAAAAGAACTAACACATCTGTTCTGGAGGAAGTGTAGCCAAATGCTCCTTGAATGTGAGAATGGCCAGACTTTGTCTCACCTACTTTGGTCATGTTGTCAGAAGGGACCATTCCCTGGAGAAGGATGTCATGCTTGGTAAGATGGAGGGTTGACAAATGAGGGGAAGTTCCTCAACAAGATGGATTGACACAGTGGCTGTGGCGATGGGCTCAAGTATAGCAAGGATCATGGAGCTGGCGCAGGACCAGGTGGTGTTTCGTTCTGCTGTGCATAGGGTTGCTATGAGTTTGAGACAACTCCACGGCACCTAACAACAACAGTATAAAGTTATCTATTTTAACTCTGTTGTCATTTGCTAGATCACCCTTAAAGGTCTTTTTAAAGCATAAAAGAAAGTATTGGGATGTACCATTTCATTTCGATTGATCATTACCACATTCAGATTATACACAGGATAGAAAAAATTGTGACCCATGTTCTTCTGTACACCCTCCCCACAGCCCCTCCACCCCAAGACCTCAGATTTATTGTAGGCATCTAATGAATATGTTGAACTTAATAGCTGCTACAAAACAATTGGAAAAAATATAGCTAGGAAATACTACCATACTTGAAATTGGAAAATTCTGGGTAATTGCTGAGTGCCTCATGTTAGTTCCTGTGGATGCAAAATGAGTTAATATTGTAAAGCAAAAACTCCTAGGAGACATCTCAGAAACTGTATTTCTGCTTATGATACTCAGAATGGGACTGACATTGATTTGCTGATAATATATTTATTATTATTATTCCGTAGCCTCAGACGATACAGCAAACTCTCAAGAGGACGTTACAGTATTATGAGCATCAAGTTATTGGGTAAGTAAAAATGCATTTTGGTCATTATTATGGGCAAATTAAAAGTAATTGGTCAAACAAGTAATTTTTTGCCATCCAGGTCAACTTTATTTTATAGTGGCTATATTCTCTGTAAGGAACTCTGGTTGTGTAGTGCCTAAGGCATTTGACTGCTAACCAGAAGGTTAGTGCTTCAAACCTATCAGCCACTCCAGGGAAGGAAGACTGGGCAATGTTATGCCATAAAGGTTTTCTGCCTCAGAAACCCAATGAGGGTCTCCAGGAATCAGAATTGACTTGATGGCAGTAGGTTTGGTTTGTTTTTGGTATGTTCTCTACATTAGTTGGAATCAACTCAACAGCAACTAGTTTGTTTTTTGTTTTGTTTTGTTTTGTTTATGTTCTCATAGCGTGGCATGGAGGGTCATGGGGTTCCCTTGGAGTGATTTTCTTTGGCTTATTTTTGTTTAATCATTTAAAAATCCATTTTGGTGGATTTCTTGTTTTTTTCCTTCTCATAGTCTTACACTCTTTTCTGAACACTGAGTCTTATAATTTCACCTTGTTGTTGTTGTTGTTATGTGCCGTCGAGTCAGCCCTGACTCATAGCGACCCCTCCTTGGGTTTCCGAGGCAGTATCACTACGGAAGTAGGATTGCCCAACCTTCCTTCCGAGGAGTGGCTGGTGGGTTTGAACCGCCAGCCTTCTGGTTAGCAGTCAAGTGCCTTAGGCAGTATGCTACCAGAGCTCCTAACATTTACTTTAGGAGTCCCTAAACCAGTGGTGCACTGGTTAACACACTTGCCTGCTAACCCAAACGTTGGATGTTTGAGTCCACGTAGGAAGAAAAGCTTGGAGATCTATTTCTGAAAAATCAGGAATTGAGAACTCTATGGAGCATAGTTCTGCTCTGACACATATGACACATGGGGTCACCATGAGTTAGAATTAACTTGACAACAACCAACAACAACAAATTTCCTTTCTCATGCAGTCTAGCTTTTAAAATTAAATTCATTTATGTTAGGGCCAATGCTTATTTTTAATTTACCTTGTTCATGTTCTCTATGTGCTAGTGATTTATCTTTGTAAGATTTTAAGAACTTTTGAGGAGTTAGTATTAAACCCTGGTACTTCTTAAAATGCTATCAGGAATCATTTAAAGTTTATGGCTAATAGTTATTGTCATAACGATCAAGAATATATTTTTGGCTATTAGAGTGTAGTGTGATTTTTCAGAAAGCAGAAGGGAATAAAACTTAATGGAAAAATAATCTCACTTCCTACTATAATGTCATGTACTTTAAGTGCTTGATGCTTATGTTAATTCTCATTTCAAAGGGAATTGCTTTGAAACTTTGTCATATGAATCCTCAAGGGTGCAGTGCTAGGAAAAACATATTATTTAAACTCATGAGATGGCTTTTACTTTGAGGCCACTAGTGATTTTAAATGGTTTATCCTAATGGAGATGAAGAATGTAAAATTAACCTCTCCCACACATTGAAAAATAAAACTTAATCACTCTCACTGGATTTGCTGCTTTCAAAGTACAGTATTTGGATTAAATTAGCCAATTTATATAAAAAACAGAACAGTTTTTGCTACATGGTAAGCAATACATACCTGTTTTCTTTTGTTTATTTATTATTACTGTTAAAATTCAATGATAATACCAGTAGTCAAATTCAAATTATTTTCTGGAATTATGAATGTTCTCTCTGTTTCAAATGATAATGGGTAAAATTATTCTCATTTGTGAACTAAACTATGTCTTTAAGACAAATTGAAGTTGAAATTTTATAAATGTTACCAAGATAGGTAACTAATATCATACCTAATATTATGATATTACCAATCAGCAGAAAATTCTTTTTATATTAATAAGTAAGAGTTGTCCTTTATCTAAGCAAGTGAATCAACTCTCTTCTTCACTCCATCCATGTAGACATAGCCTGTGGTGATTCTTTGTTCATTGCCTGACTGGTCTTTTTCCAGTTCTGTTTCATGCAGACACAGTAGAAAGAAGGCAGACGGGGAATGTGACTCCAATATAAAGAGGTGGTGTCAAACTAGTTCCAAATAGGCCTATTAGTGTATTTTTACTTAGCTGTTGGCTGGTTTCTGGGACTTGCTGTATCTTTGCTCACTGTCTTTATTTGTACTTATGCTGATGAAGATAAAACGGGCTAGCTGGCAGCAACAGCCTCACGTTTCGCTTCTTGACAGAGATATCTTTCCTGTCCAACTTGCTCTTGCCTTCTAGACTCCATCTTTCTACTTTCTCTTTCTGAAAATGGAAATCATCTAATGTCACTAACAGTTGACTAAAAGTATTCACACCTATGTGTTGTTTCTCTTAAGAAAATTAAATTTAAAATATTTTATCTCTAACTGGGAAAGGAATGTTTCTTACAGTTAAAAGAATTTCAGGTAATTGAGAGTAAGTGCTGGCAAGTATTTGTTTTATATATTTTTTGGGAGGTGGCAGTAGAGAGGGAGTTTTTTTTTTTCTAGTCTCTGAAATTGGGCCTTGCCTAAGTTTTGTGATACCACCTCAGAAACCCAAGGAGGGGGTCACTCTGTGTCAGATCCAACTCGATGGCAGTGAGTTCTGTTTAAATATAAAGTAGCCCTTCTCTTTTTAATTTCTTAACTCAATCCCCAATCACTGATATTCCTGCCCTCCTTTTCCTCTTCTTTATGACTCTGACTTTGTATCTGTTTGATTGATTAGAACTCTGAGATTGTGTAGTTCTGCTCCCGATGGATTCTTGTATCTGTAGCATGTATGGATTGTCTGAGGTTCTTTTATTCACCCAGGACACAGACTTGAGTGCGGGAAGCAGCCGTTAAAGGATCACACAGAGGAAGGAATGGGAGAGAGCCTCTTGTTAGGGAGGAAGATAGCCTCCCTGTACCTTGGCTATTTTCTCTTTAGATATTTATTCAATTCCTTCATTTATTCATTCACTCATTCATTTATTCATAGAGATGATTCTAGTTGGGAAAATGAGTGCTAAAATAATTTATTAGTGCAATGTTGTAAGTCATTTTCTCTTCATCTCTGCTGTCACCATGATCTCTCTCCTAAAGATTCTGAACCATTTTTCTGACTTCTACTCCTGTCTCCCAACATTCTATTTTTATTACAGCCATGTGATTAAAAATTAGATCATCTCATTTTTTTTTTTTTTTTTACTTTAAACTGGTGATTCTCAAATTTAATGGGTATCAGAATCACCTGGTCAGCTTGTTAAAACACTATTTGCTGGGCCCATCCTCAGTTTCTGAATCTGTAGGTCCTCCTGGATGGAGCTCAAGAATTTGCATTATGAACAAGTTGATGCTGATGCTGCTGGTGCAGGAATCACACTCTGAAATCCCTACTTTAAGCCATGTGATGGCTTACTATAACAGAATAAAAATAAAAAACTCTTCCTGTGATTCACCCTCTGCCTGTCTCTGATTTCATCCTTTTCTCCACCCTATTCTGATTCCACTCCAGCCACTCAGGACTTCTATTAGTTTCTAAACCACACCAAGCTTGCTTAGTCACAGGGCCTTTGCACATCCTGTTTAATTTTCCTGGAATTATCTGTCTCAGATGTTTGCAGAGTTGTTTTTTTTTCCAATTTTTTCAAAGGTCATCTCTTTAGAAAGATTTTCCTTGACCATCCAGTGTAAAGTAGCACTCCACGACACTTCAATCTCCAAGCGCAGTCACTTTTCTATTCTATTATCCTCTATTATTTCTTTCCATTGTCCTTATCATTAGCTGGAATTATCTTGTTTATTTCCTTGTTTATTTTGTTTGCTTCTATATTCCTGTGCTTGGGACATGGGTAGCACTAGCATTTTGTGGAGGGCGGGAGATGAATAAATGAACAAATTGTACCCTAGAGATATGTACACAGGTTTTTAGGAGCATGGTGGATAGAAGAGTAATTATAGAACGGAGATGTAAGATAAGGGGTTGAAATAATGTCCAGGGTTTGTTACAGTTCTAAAATGGATAGTTCTGGTATCTGGAAACACTTTCTTTGTAGCATAAATTACACTGATTTATTTGCTACCTTCCCATTCATGCTTAGTGTTCTGCCACTGTCTGTCAGATCGACTTTGTGTTAAATTTTGATTAGTGTATATTCTGTACACACATATGCTCACCTGGATAGCTTTTTGTTCATGTAATATTGTCCTCTTCTCACAACTTAAAAGAAAGGGGTCATTGAGTATGTCGCTTTATGTCAGTTATTGTTTAACTCAAGCTTGTCGAGAATGGACTGGCTTTCTGGGCAGTGTGGGGTGGAAAGAATAGTGAAACTCAGAAGGGGTAAGGAGAGACAGAGTTCACCTTAAGAATTAAGATAAGCTCAGGATTGAGGAAAATCTGATTTATGATGACCTATTTTCTGATGGGATTCTTGCCATTATCTTGTGCCCTTCCTTCTCTCTACAGGTTTTTGTCTCTACACGTCTTTGTTATGTAGTTGTGTAGTGTAGAGTAGTGGACTGAGAAAATGTGCTTTGGAGGTAGACTTACAATCATGTTCTGTTATTTCATAACCTTGGGTAGATTACTTAACCTCTCTGAGCCTCAGTTTTCTAATTTCTAAAATGAGAATAATGATAGGGTTGGAGTGAAGTTTAAATGAAATATTAATAACAATGTATTGTCATATAAGTATGTGAAGCAGTACAGTGCCTGTATTTATAGGTCAGCAATATTTTAGTTGAATTGCTATTAGTATCTGACTCTTTTGCCGTCACGTCTTGTGGCTTGTATTTCCCATTAGCTTCCCTGCTCTATCTGTTCTCTGCTCTCTTTGAGTGTTTACACATTTGGAATCAGTTGTTTAGCATCAATAACTAAACATGCCTACTTCATGTTCCAGGGATAGCTTTGTTACAGACAGTTCCTTTTGATTTGGAAATTTTTAACTTAAATTTCTGCTTCGAAAGTGCCTGATGCAACTGATGCTCTTACTCATGTTTATACTACATGACTCTTACTTGTCTACATCTCACAAAAATGAATTTTTATGGTCATATAGACAAAGCTGACTCTTGGAATCACTTGACAGCAATGGCTTTTGTTGTTGTTGATTTATAGACAAAGCAGATATTGTTTGAACTATCATTGGAAAATACATGGTAAGCTGAGACATAATGCTCATTCATTATATATTTTGAATCCTAAAGTACAGGCAGTACAAATGAGAGTCAGTCTTAAGCATGTCTTTAAGTCAAATTTGTAGGTATACTAGTTATTACTTAACTGTATTACTTAACTTAATATAAGAAAAGTCTTGACACCTTGTCCATGATTTAGAAGTTGCATGAGCAGCAAGTAAGGCAATTGTTATAAAGAATTTCTTGTGAGCAGGGGTTGGTTCAATCATTTCAAAGTTAAGGTGAATTTATATAACATCAAAGGGCAAGTAGAAGTTGTCCCTAAGTTGGAAGTTTGTTACCTGGGGACTAATGTGTAAGAATGACACATTCATAATCATGCATTCATTTTCTACTTTTTGCCAAAATAAATCTTATTGTGTTAATATCATGAGTGGGACTGATGCCAATCTCATATTAGTCTGGGACACTATTTCTTATAGCCATCTAAAATTAAATTCTATTATTCTCATTTTCATAGTGGGTCTTATATTTTGTTTTATATAGCCAACCTTCTCTCCTTCTTCTTTTTTTGGATTTGTAGAGAGATCAAGCCAGAATAATTTCAATAGAAAATTAGAATTAAAATTAGTGGCAGATTAACCTTAATTATTTTGGGAAATAAACTTTAATGATATTGTGTGTCTATGGTCAGGAAATGTGGCTGTGACTTATTTTGTCTAAAAAGAAATCTCATTTTTTAATATTTTTGCATAGAATAAATATCTGTCTTATTGAATAAAAACAAGATCTCTCAATTGCTTTCTACGTTGGAGGAAATATACTGGCCACTTTACATCTGTTATTTAATCTTAACCATCTATTTTATAGGATCATTGTATTGTATTTTTCAGGTGAGGAAATTGTGGCCAAGAGAAGATAAAAATAACTTTGTCCAAGGTCACTCTGATTAAAATGTCAGAGCTTGGTTCAGTCCTGTGTTTGTTTCTAGTTAACATCTGTGCTCTTCATTCCACTTTTTATTGAATGATTTCTGTATCCTAGAAACTGTAGTAAGCATTTTTGTCTTACTGGATTATTGGAGTCTGAGCTCAGTGAGGTGTACAAACATGAAATTGCTTTATTTTTTTCTCCAAACATTTCAAACATGCTAGGATAAATCCCCTTTGATACCTGCATGGGCAGATTGTTCTGTTTTCCAGGTATTTTCAGGGATTATATAGTCCACTCCAGACCAATTTAAATCTTCAGTCTCATGTCTTATCTGGCTCTTATGTCCTCTTCGCCATCTGGGTAAGGCCTTGGCTGGAGGAACTTGGAATGCAGTGTGGAGAAGGTGTGATGCAGTCTTTCACTTCTCCTCTCCTGACCATCCCTTTCTGAATCCCTTCTCTTTGGAGTGCTGTGGCAGGCAGGAATGAAACGGAAAATGGCAGACACCTCTTTTGAATAACTGGTAGTTCATTGTAATAGTCCTCTCTTGGCTGTGATGCCCACAGTGAGGTGCATGTCTGGGTTCTACCTTGACTACTTCAAGTGCCCCAGTTCCTGCCTGGAGTAGTGTACCTACAGTCTTGTTAGTGGGATCCCTGTCCCTGAGCAACAGCCTCTAGATCAGTTAAGCAGCAGGATGCAACAACTCAAATGTGCCTCTTCTTAGTGGCATCACTTTGACCCACTGGAAACATTTTGCCTTGTCAAATGGTGGGACTGTAGGGTACTTCCAATTTTGCTCTATTTCTTTTTCCTGTTAGTAACTCTCTCCAAAGCCTTCTTTATTCTGTCAGATACAGAGGATCACAAAAGTCACTGCCTAGCCAAATATTCACTGGGGAATGAGATACCAGATCCCTCCCATTTCTACTTGTGGTGGACCCCTCTTTCATCAACTTGGCCTTTTCCAACAGGGATATGGAAAAAATACAGCAGCATTCTTCTCCTAATTACTCATTCTTTTGAGCATTTTCTTTTAATTTTTTTCTATATTTCTGCTTCGGTAGGCTAGTAGTGCAATGACAGTAGCAGGGCTATTTAGTCATCTTTTAAGTTCTAAAAGGAGTCTCTAAGTTGTGCTAGTGGATAACATGCTTGGGTTCTAACCAGAAGGTTGGAGGTTTGAGTACATCCAGAAGTGCCTCTCAGAAGAAAGACCTGGTGATCTACTTCTGAAAAATCAGCCATGCAAAACTATGGGGTGCAGTTCTACTGTGAAACACAGGGTGGTCCATGAGTTGGAATTCACTCAACAGCAAGTTGTTTAAGGTCTGAAGTGGATGTCTGCTCCTCCAGGCTACTCTTATAACATAGAAGGATTTGGTCCTCATTGTTTTCCATTTTGGTGCTTTAGCTCTAATGCAGAAGCATCCAGAAAAGTCCTAGTCAATGTTTGATTACACAGGCATTATGCAATTCAGTCCTCACAAGAACTCTAGGAAGTGTCTATTTTATGAGGGAGGAAAATTAGAGTAACTGAGATTAGATTACTTGTCTAGCATTTTACAGATAAGAAATGGCAGGACAATGATTCAAATTTATTACTGACAGTTCTTGAAATACTTCATTTGTTATCCACATACCATACATACTGCTATATACTTGACTGTCCATGACAGAGTTTAAAGTGTTTTTACTTTCCTCAAGGTTGAATTGCAAAGCATTTGTTAATTTTTCTTTTTCTAGGCAACTTATTTATAGAAACATATTATTAGTATGTATAAAACACTCAAACAGGGATACATTAACTAATATAGTCTTTGATTCTCTTCATTTATTTTTTTTCATACATGATTTTCTTATTAACAATTGATTGCCTCCAGTTTCAGGTGCACATTACTAATAGTGATGCTAATCATGAGTTATACTGGAAGTTATGTCTTAATGCATCAAAAAAAAAAAAAAATACTGTTGCTGAGTCTATTACAACTCATAGCGACCCCTCCTTGGGTTTCTGAGGTGGTATCTCTACAGAAGTAGATTGCCCAGGCTTCCTTCCGAGGAGTGGCTGGTGGGTTTGAACTGCCAGCCTCCTGGTTAGCAGTCAAGTGCCTTAGGTGCTACAACCAGAGATTAGTTATTTTAAATGGGATTACAATGAAAAAGTAGACTACGTGTTTGTGCATATGTATGTGCATACATTTGCAGATGCTTTAAAAAGATTCTCCATGTGCTAATTTTGTTCTCTTCTTAGTTACAGGGATGCAGAAAAGAATTTCCACAATATTTCTAACAAATGCTCCTATGCAGATCATTCCAACAAAGAGGAAATTGAAGACGTCTCAGGAATTCTTCAGTGTACTGCTAATATACTCGGTATAGTAAATATATATTTATACAGTTGATAGAATGAATGAGGGGGAGAAGGAAAAGTAAAGGTATAAATGTTTCATTTGATACTGAAGATAAGTATGGAAAATATGGCAAATTGAGATCAAGACTTTGTCTTTGAGTGATTTAGTTTTAACTCCTGAAGATATTAGAGTGGAAATTACATGCATGCCATTTACTCAGAGATTGAAAATACTTAACATTCTTAGAAAACTTCAAAAACATTTTCCTATGTTAGTATTTTTATCTTTGTGCAATCCATATTTTCCTGGCTCTTACCCTTAGCTGAAATTATGGAATCGTTCTCTTCTTTCAAAGTCATACATGATTATGCCTGAGAGGCCTGGTTGGGACTGGAGGGTGACTCACAAATGCTCTGAATGGACTTTACAGTTCTGGACCCTTCTCTGTGACTGTGTCAGTGAGGCAAGTCATCTACTGAGGGCTCTGTGCCCTACTGGGAAATGCCCACCTTAAAGATGTTAGTATTTTTGGCAGATAGGTATTCTCAGCATGCAGAAGGGACACTGCCATGAACTGTGCTCAGCCACACAGCTTTAAAGTACTACAACTGAACTGCGGTATATGAAATTGTTGGAATGGGAGAGAGTCACTGTGTTATATAAAAACTACATACCAAAGCAGGATTTTTTTTTTTTTTTTTTTGTCCTGATATCTTTCATAGGTTTTTATTGAGAAATTCCTCTTTCAATTCTCTCTGGAATTCTATTTCCTTATGACTCAGATGGAAGCCTAAGTGGTGCTGGGAGGGAGTGGGGAACAACAAATCTTAGTGACAGACTCCATATGGAACTGAGAATCAGATGATGTGATGGAGACCGGGACTTTATTAATGGGCAAGCACGTTTGCCTGACTTTCTCTTTAGAGTAAACATTTTCCCTGGAGATACCAGGGTCTCTCATACACACAGACTCTAGGTGGCCTCAACCCATGTATGTAGCAGATTTTGTTAAATGTTTCTGACTCTTGGAGGTGTACCTAGCTTTTACACTCAAGCTGGATCTTCAGCTATGCATATGCTATGTTTTCATCCTAGATGACTTTTGTAAATATGAAATATTGGAATAAGAACATGGGCCTTTTTAAAAAGAAGGCATACAAATGTAGATGGTTTGCCTATGGTAGCATGCAAGACAGTGATGGGCAGTGAGAGGGAAGATAAAGCTCTACTTACCTCGATTTTATTAGAGCTGTGATGTTGTGTGGCATCAAGTTGAATCTGATTCATAGGTACCCTAGAGGATGGAGTAGAACTGCCCCTAGAGTTTCCTAGACTGAAATCTTTACAAGAGAAGAGTGCTACCGGGGTATAAAACTATCCAAATAAAGCATATGCTTGGCAAAGAAAAAGGATGAGAATAAAAGAATAATGGATATGTGGCATTCCCTAAGAGGTGTTTACAATTTTCTGATTTTTTATCTTCCAGGAATATCCTTGAAAACTATATCAATTTCTCTTGACACGCTGATTTAAAATATTTTATTTTATTCTGTTGTGGTGAAAACCTGCACACCAAGACATTCAATGATGTAACAACTTCCACATTTACAGCTCAGGGACACTGATGAAATTTTTCATGTTGTACCACTACTACCGCTATCCTTTTCAAAAATATTCCACCAACATTAACATAAACTCAGTGGCCTGCCAACAAAAGCTTCCCCTTTCCTTTTCCCTCCTATGCCTGGTAACCACCATTAATATTTGATATATATACTTTTTTTTTTTTTAAATAACCCCTTTCCCACTTCCTCCTTGTAGTTACTTCTTCCCTGTATCTTTATCTTTCTTTTTTTTAAACTGTTTAACAATTTTCCCTCCCATCCCTGGTAATTAACAAAGAAAGTTTCCTTCCATATATAAACCTTTCCTTGACTTTTTACAATAGTGAACTAATACAATATTTATCCTTCTGTGATTGACTTATTTCACTCAGCATAATGTCCTCTAAGTTCATCCATGTCATGTGGTGTTTTGCAGATTCTACATTATTCTTTAGGGTTGCATACTATTCTATTGTGTGTAAGTACCACAGTTTGTTTACCCATTCCTCGGTGGATGACACTTAAGTTGTTTCCATCTCTTTGTTATTGTGAATAGTGCTGTGATGAACATGAGAGTGCATATATCTATGTTCTGCTTCTCACTTCTTTAGAATATATACCTAGTAATGGGATTGCTGAATCAAATGGTATTTCGATTTCCAACTTTTTAAGAAACTGTTATACTGATTTACACAGTGGTTGTATCATTTTACAGTCCCACCAGCAGTATATGAGCCCCAGGAACAACTCAGGGACGCACAAAACAGCAGGGCAGAAGAGCAGGAGAAAGGGGTTAAAGCCAGGAAGCCAGACAGAGGTACAGTCAGCCACAGGGACCCAGTTGGGGGTGATATGAGAGGTCTCCAACAGCAAGACAAACTTGTCTGTCAGTTTGTCCT